TAATCTTTGACAAAAAGATTAGTTCCCTTGTGTGTATAAGTGAGGAGTGGTTTTCAAACTGTGCACTGTGGAGTCCAAGTTGTCACAGAGGCTTGTGAGCAGGATGGAAGAAGGAACAAAGAAGTATGGCTTCTGGTCCTACTAGCCCACTTCAAATCTGACCTCTATTACATGCTGGGCTTTTGTTAGGGATTTTGCTTAAAAATGTTGTATTAAAGGGGTACCTGGGTGGCTCAGGAGGGTTAAGCATCCAACTCTTGATTTCGGCTCATGTCATGATCTCAGGGTCATGAGATTGAGTCCCATGTAGGTGTCTGGGCTGGGCATGGAGTCTGCTTGGGATTCTCTCTCTCCCTCTCCCTCTGTCCCTCCCCTGCTCTCTTTCTCTCTAAAAAAAAAAAAAAAAAAAATTGTATTAAAAAAATGAAAATAGAACCTACTCTTCCAACACATACACTGTGTAAATCCATTAATATTTATCTTTTGTGGTCAGAACTTCATGCTACAAGACAGGGAAGGTCTGAAGTCATTTCCCAGATTATGGGCCAAGGCATCAGGAATCCCTGAGTTTAGCTTCCTGGTTCTCCGACTCTCAGATCTTGTTCAACCAGCCACTCCCTGATCTGGAGGTGCAGGGGAGCATTGGTTCTGGGAAGATCAACAGGTTCTTCACATTACAATACCGTCACCTGTGTTTTCTTTCCCTTCTTCTCTCTCTTTAGTATTATCCAGAACTACAAACATTTTGCTGAGGGAGCCTCATTTCAGTGGGGGTCATGCCTCCGGGCAAGGGATTAGCAGCTCAGGTGATCTCATCGGTCTCTTCCAGGTCAATAATTTTACAGCTACATGAACTGGCAACTTGTTTTGGCACGGTTAAAATGGGCATCCATTAATAGTTCTGGGAATCTCACAACTTACTAGCAAGAAATGTGAGGACCCCCTGACCAGCTGAAGAAGTAGAATGAGCTGAGAAGAAAGGACTGAACTTTAGCCTCGGGTCATGTGTAATGGTCACAAGTCAGTGATTCATTAATTTCTTCAAGCATAGGATTATTTTCCACAAATGGATCACATAATTTATTACCTCTTCAGAGGGTCTCTTGAAAACACCTGGAAAAATTGGCATGAAGAAGGAAGACTTCTAGTTAACCGAGTAAAACTTAACATTAAATCCAAGCTGGAAAATTTCTAATGCTTGTATTCTGAAGACCAGTTTTAGGAGAAGGAGCTACTACAACTTGTTCATTTTCTTGGAAGAAAATTCCAGAGTTAATGTTACCAATGAAAATCACATATTTTTGTTATTAATTTATATGTTTAATTTTATAGATCCTGTGCTTAATAATTCTTTACAGGCTTCCTCAGATGTGTGGTCTATGGTCTGAAAATCAGATCAGAATCATACATTTCTTTTTTTATTTTGTCTTAAAACATTAAATGAACTCATTATTAAAATAGTAAAAAGAGGGGTGCCTGGGTGGCTCTGTCGTTAGGTGTCTGCTTTCGGCTCAGGTCATGGTCTCAGGGTCCTGGGATGGAGCCCCGCATCGGGCTCCTCTCTCACGGGAAGCCTGCTTCTCCCTCTCCCACTCCCCCTGCTTGTGTTCCCTCTCTCACTGTCTCTCTCTCTGTCAAGGAAATAAATAAAATCTTAAAAAAATATATAGTAAAAAGACATCATTTTAACAATTTTTTTTAAATGAAAGACTGTAAGATTCCTATAGAGCAAATGCTTAAAGAAAATAAACCCTAGAGGGAAAGGGCGCAGGGTTTGAAACATGGCGGTCGACGTGGATCAGCAACAAACTACCAACACTGTAGAAGAGCCCCTGGATCTCATCAGGCTCAGCCTGGATGAGCGAATTTATGTGAAAATGAGAAATGACAGAGAGCTTCGAGGCAGATTACATGCTTACGATCAGCATTTAAATATGATATTGGGAGATGTGGAAGAAACTGTGACTACTATAGAAATTGATGAGGAAA